TTATTTTTTAGTTTCTAATAAACCACCAACATCAATAATTGAAAACTCTGATAGTGTTCAAGCACTTCAAGAAAACTTTGAAGAGAATGGTAAATCATAAATATTCATCCTTCTCCATTAGAACTACCATCAAGTATTTTTCCAAAAAGCAAGGATCCAAATGGTGTATCAAGAAGTTTTCACGAATCTTATTATCACAAAACTATACAAAATGTTCAAGTGCGTCGAAATTGGTTATCATATTCACCTTCCCAAAATAAGGTATATTGTGTATCTTGTAAATTATTTGGATTACCTAAAGCAAAAAAGGCTGTTTTGGAACAAAAAGGAACAAATAGCTGGCAAAATTTAAAACGTAATTTAGAGACTCATGAACAAACTATTGAACACTTACAGTCTGAAATAAGCCGTGGACTTTTCTCAAAAAATAATAGAGTAGACTTGAACAGGAAAAGGGCTGTATAATACTTTTTGTACTATAACAGAAATGTATCAGATTGATTGGAAAACCAAATTATGCGCTCAATCGTACGATGGTGCTGCAGCTATGCAAGGAGAATACTCAGGACTACGCACATATATTCAGAATGAAAACCCCAAAGCAATTTATGTGTGGTGTTTCGCACACTTGCTTAACCTAGTTATCGTCGATACATTGGATTCTACAACTGATACCAAAATATTTTTTGGGGACTTGCATGGAATAGTAACATTTATGAGAGCAAGGAAAAGAACTGCTACATTTTATGAATGCCAAAAAAAATTAAACATTGAATCTAAAGCTAATGATAGAATTCGAAAAATCAAAAATTTTTCAGATACACGGTGGACGTCCCATGACCGTGTTATTACAGTAATACATGATAAGTATGAAGCTTTAAAAAATACTTCAGAATTGCTATCAGAATCCACAGACAGAGTAACTGCTTCAAATGCAAAATCTTTTCTACAAATAATTTCTTCGTTTCATTTTGTATTGGTTCTTAAGCTAATGAAAAGTATATTCACAATAACTACACCAACTTCATGTTATCTGCAATCAAAAAGCATTGATTTTATTCAAGCCATTAAATTGGTAGATGAAACTAAAAAAAGATTATTAGAATTGCGTTCTGATAAATATTTCCAAGAACTTGTACAAAATACCAAACAATTTACTAATGAACAGAATCTCTGTGAAAATGATTTTAAAAAAGTCCGAACGAGGAAAACTTAAAAAAATGCCTGKAGAAAATGTACAAGATGAAATTAGTTCCTCAGCATCAGACAGGTTGGTAAATTATTTATCATTAAAATAATTCTATCATTAAATTCTTGAATATGTAACTTTTATTATAGGTTTAGAGTGAACACATATTATAAATGTTTGGACCAAATAACTTCATCTATAGACAATAGATTTAGTAATGCTAGAGACATACTGAAAGATCTTGCGTTACTATCCCCAGAGCGGTTAATGGAAGCTAAATATAAATCGGAAATGGATCTTCCAGATAAATGTTTTTTAGATTTGGCTACATGGATAACTGATATTAATCCATACCAACTTAAAACTGAATATTTATTATTCAGCAAAAGCTTAAAAGAATTGATTATTGGAATGAAATTCCCAGATAATCAATCTAATGAATCACTTGATATTAACACTGAAGAGGATTCATCGGAAGATGAACATCAAAATATTACGAGCAAACCAAAACAGAACATAACACTAGGAACTATATTAAATGTTCTCTCAAGTTTTGACATTATGAGTGTCTTTCCGAATTTGTATTGTGCTTATAAAGCATTATGTACAATTCCAACCTCATCAGCCTCAGCAGAAAGAAGCTTTTCAAA